AGGAAAATACGAAAATGTAAGGAAGGAGAAAATAAAAAAGAAAAAATGAAAAGTTTATTTTCAAGATTGAACTAAATTTAACAGAAGTTATAACTTTCATTATGGATAGTTGGTTTGATATATTATTTCTTCAAGTTAATTATTTTATTACAATAAAATATTTTTATTATTTATGAATTTTTATTATAAAATATTTGATTTTAAGTATTACATAAAAAATAATCTTTTAATTAATCAATGACTTATTATCTATTCAAAAAAAAGAAAGACAACTTATTCAAAAAATTTATTATTTGATAAAAAAGTAATTTATTATAACTTATTAAAAAATAAAAAAAAATTCCGCAAAAAAAAAAAATCAATATCTATTAGAAGAAATTTCTATGTTTTAAATTAAAATAATTTTTATTCGTATATGATAGCATTTTGTTAAATTAATCTTATTTTTTTGATAAATGAATATTTCGAATAATTTTTTTTTTTAAATTATTATTTCTATCAAAGTATATTAAATATTAATTAATTTGGAATAATTGATTGCTTTAATAAATTTGGCAGCAATAATAATTCAAATAATAATTTAAATCATTTCAAATTACAATAAATAATTCAAATCATTTTATTTTGTTGCAAAATGATTTTAATGAAGAAATTTAAATAAATCTGAGACTTTTTTTACACCAAATTAATTTGTTAATTATCAAAAACTTGTTCTTTTTTTTGACATTCTCCAAATATTTTGCATTATTCGCTTGTTTCCAATTTATTCCTTGAAATTTTTAATAATTTTAAAATTATTTAATTGAATTATTAATTGTTAACAGGTTTACTGCATTTTCATCATGGCAGAAGTAAAGCCAAAACTTCGTCGAGTTGTCACATTTACCAAAAATAATCATCGTTGGTCTAGGACATTCGATGAAACTGATTTAAGGTTAATCAATTTCATTTCATTCTCTAATCAATTTATCAACTTACTGATATCTTACTTTCAATTTATCATTATACATACCAATCCTTTTCACCTTCTTCTTAATTTTTTTTTTTACAAATGAAAACTGAAATGAATGAACTTGGCTTTATTTATTAGTTATATTATTTGGCCAATAAACAAGCATAGCAATATTATGAAAAGAAGCCTTAAGTCATTCATTTTTTCAGCCAATTTTACGAACATTTGATTTATTGTAATTTACTCTTTTTTTCAGGCAAATATTTTAAAGGAAATGACTTTTTTAGGCTTAACTATAATTGATAACTTAATATTTGATATTAATTTAATCAAAATTAGAGAATGAAGAATTAATTGGAAAAAAATATTTTCACACTAATTTTTTTTCTGTTTTTCAAAGCGAATACATCAACTAAATGAGTTATGGGTAAATTATGATAAAGATGATTAGAATTAAGATCAAGTTAATTAAGATTAATCAGTTGGTACAAAAATGAATAAGATATATTCAAGCGAAATTTACAATTGCTTAATTGATTGATTGATTTGGCTAATGATAAGAATTGATATGCTTATTTTAATTTTCCATGAATTACTTGATAATATTTTATGATAACGAATAATGCTGTATTTTTGCTTTTTTTTTTTTTGAAGTTAAAAAGCCTTTTTCATGAATTCTAAATGATCCACTGTTTGATTATTCGTTTCTTCCTTCAACTTCTTCATTAACTGATAACTTGATAACATGTTAATATTGGCCATAACATTCATAGCTTAATATTTCTTATCAAAAATTATTAAAGAACCGGAGAGGATGAAGGGTATAATACCTCATTGATTTGATTATTAATTAAAAAAGTAAATGATTAATTAAATAATCTAATACATACATGCTTTTGAATATCTCAATTTTGGTATAATTCGAAATACTTTTCAAATATACTTCCCAATATATTTTTCTAATAAAATTAAATTTGCATAAATTAAATTTGCTATAATAAGTTTTAGGATAGGTATAGAATGGATCACTTTATGATATTCTATTTTCATTTCTTGTTAATAATACGATTAACTTGTAAAAAAAAGAATTTAGAGTAAATAAAATTTACCTTTCATTAAAATAATTTTGATTATCATTTTATGCGTTATCATTGCATTGCTTACAAAGATCTTTCTTATCATCAACTTATCAGTTACAAAAAATACTATTACTATCTATCCTATAAGAATAATTGATACTATTCTTTTTATTATTTATTCTTCACACATTTTTCGTTTTATAATTTTTTTCAACCTAATGCTTTGCTAAACAATTTATCAACAATTTCTAACACTTCTAATGTTTATCAATAAAAGATTTCGCATAATTAATCCAAGAGATCGATTATCTTTCACCAATTTGAAACTTTCAGGAAATACTGATAATGATAGTAGTGATAAACAGTTGTAAGCTGATATCATTTATAACAAAAATATCGATTACCTTTCATCAATTGGAAACTTTCAAAAAGTACTGATAATGATAGTAGTGATAAACAGCTGTAAGCTGATATCATTTATAATAAAAATATCGATTACCTTCCATCAGTTGAAAACTTTCAAAAAGCACTGATAATGATAGCAGTGATAAACAATAGCATGTTATTATTCTTTACCCTAAAAATATCTATTACATTTGAATTGAGGCTAAGTAACATTCGTAATCATCAAAGCGATAGTATTATTTTACCTGTCGATATTTTCCACTTTACCTGTTTCTATCTTCCAGTTTATCAGGTGGATTGAAATTTTACTAGCAATAAGTTTAATTAAATGATCCATAAATTAAGGATTTATAAAAATACACATACAAAAAAAAAGCATAAACAAATCACATATAAATTATCTAATGTAAAATTAATTAAAATACTAATTAAAATGTTTTATTTTTAGGAAAGAAGAAGAACCGAAAAGCAAAGATGATGAAAAAGTTGCAACTGATAAAGAAGATATCACTGATAATGGATCAAAAAATATTACATTTAAAAGGAGTCAAACGATTAATTAACCGTGAATTCCGGATATTTGTAATGTTATCCGGTTGATTTCCGTTACTGATTCATTTTGATCCAACTCTTTGATACCTTTTATCTAATTTAAATAAAAGCATATGCTATGTAAAAATAGATTTTGTTAATTAATTTAATAATTTTTAAAAATTTGATATTTCTCAAACAGTTTGAAGTAGCGTCTTTTTTTTTTTATTATTTCAAATTTTAATAATACTTTATTGTATTGATAAAATTCAAAAGTAATAAAAAACTTTCATATTGTACTCAAAATGATAGGTAAATTTCAATCTTTGTTTTCATTTTTTCGTTTTTTTTACCTACATAAGTCCAAAAGAACTTTGCGTATTTGTGATAATGATAAGAAATACAATCATTAATCACCATTCAATTACTTTTTTTTGATCAAAACTTATTGATAAAGGTAAAGAGATTTGTTTATGCAATATAGCATAAGATTATAAAAGTTAGCCTTGAATTTTAAGAATTTGCCATTAAAAATAATAGAAGGAAATCATATTTTCATAAATGATTAATGAATGGATGATTGAATATTGATAACAATCATTGATAAATACAAAATGATAGCATATTTATTAGCTATGCTATTTTATTCCAATGATAAATGTTGTTGCATTTATCATAATGATAATAATCATTAATCACTAATCAGTATTTACCTTTTTTTTTTTTCAGATCAATATACCTACAGCTAACACATTCACTACCATTACTTATTTATCAAAATTAATTTGTTTATTTGATGATTAATTTGTAATGAATGCTTATCATCTTTGATAAACTATCAAAAGTATTATCAATGACATATATTTGTGAATATTTATTAATTTAATGAAAATTATTTAATTCGCTTTTTTCTTTTGAAACATTTGTTGGAATTATATGAAAAAAATACAGAAGTTAATGTGCATTGGAAATGATTTAAAATAAATGAAAAAAGAAATTAATAATTAAATTAATTAATGTAATTTGATGAAGTAAATATAGAACATTTGTCTTTCTTCGAAATTATGCAAAACATAAAACTTTTTAAAACACATTAATTTATATCAAATTAATTCCGATCCAGATATTTTCCGAAATGTTCATTTATAGTTATGCATTGTTTCGATTCGATCAATATATTCCGGAACAGGTTTTTTTAATTAACAGGTATAACTCTTTTTGTAAAAAAAAAAAAAAGAAAAAAATGCAACCGAAAACTTAACTTTTCCTGTTTTTTTTTTTCATCCGGTTATATCTTTTCCGAATAGCTAATTATTAATGAGATAAAAAGAAAAATGATTGAAATTCATTTAAAAAGATAACATTTCTGGACAAGAAATTAATTATTTGATACAATCTAGCTAACAAAACAAACCGTATATTTTTTATACTTTAACTGGAATTAGTATTAAAACTTAAAATACGGAATCAAAATTGCCATCTAATTTTTCATTAAAGAAAAAAAGAAAAAGAAAAGATTAAATGATAACAGTAAATTTAGAGCAAAACAAATGTTCGAAACATTTTTTTTTTTGAATTGTAAAAAATTTTTTAAATTTCAATTTTTTTCTTAATTTTAACAAAATTTTTGAAATATTTTTATTTGAGTGAAATGTTTTTTTTGCTTTTCCTTTTTTTCTTTTTTCTTTTGCTCGTTTCTTATCAAAATAATATCTAAATTTATTGTATTCGTAAAGTAATTTTTATGACAATTTTCCCAATGTAAACCATAATTTTCATACAAATAAAACAGTAATAAATTTGGGATACTGTATCGATTCTTAGTGATTTTGTCCTTTATCAAATGCTAATCAATTATCTATCAGTAATTTTAACATTAAATTGCCATAAAAATTGTTTTCTTATTGGGTTTTCTTTTTTTAATTTAATTTTTATGATTTTCTTAAAATAATTTGATTTGATTTGGTTAAAATATTGTGACGTTTTTTTTTTTGAAGGTAAATGATAATTAGTGAATAGCATTTCGAATTATTCTATTACTGGTCTCAAAAAAAAAAAAAAAAAAATTGATTTATTACTAATTTAGCATTAAAAACTCCCGAATGAAATATGCAAATTTTCATTTAATAATGTTATTATCAAATGAAATTTTGTTAAATTCGCAAAATTTTTCAACGATTTTTGACTTAAATACTGTTAAAATTGATTAATTTAATTCATGACTAATTTAATTTCATTTAGTAATTGAGTGAGCATTAATTTTGGTAATGATAGAAGAATTATTTTACTGATTTAATATCTATTTGTCAAATTTTTATTGTAAATTCAAATTACAAAATTCTTGAAAATGATAAATTTAGTGCATTTGCTGAGTCATAGGGAACAATAAGCATTTTTTTTCATTCATTTTGAATTCAAATTCAAATTCACTTCGGTTAGAAATAAATTTTGATGAAATCATTAACAATCATTTGTAATAAATGATGATAAATCTCACATTAATCACATCAATAACATATATCAATAAATTATTCCATTCATATGATTATTGCAAAAATAATTATTTGAAATTTTTAATTATTTTTAAAACTTTTTTTAAAAATTTTTTAATTATTTTTGAATTTTAACGGATTTGTTTTTTTTTTAATTATTTTTAAATTTTAATGAACTTGAAAAAAACTCTTTTTTTCTGAAACAATTAATAACAAAAAAAAAAAAAAAAACAACAAAATTACCGCAAATATATCAAAATAATATTATGATTTATTAGTATCAGAGAAAAAAAAATAAGGAGAAGAGGGAAAAAAAACAAGGAAAAGAAAGAAAGAAATTTTTTAAATTTTCTTGCAAAAATTTTTTTTCTCTCTCTCTCTCCCTCATTTTTCACAAAATATTTGAAGTATCCCCTGTTCATGTGGTTTATTTGTATTGTGGTGTAACAAAGGAATGGTCAGTTGGTCATCTATTAAGGCTTTCAGAAAGTGGTTTATTTACAAACGGTCATTGTCATATCCTTTTGTTTTTACTCTTCCGCCAATGATCTAAAAAATTTCCGGCAATTTTGACATCTTTCTTATCTTTCTCCTTTTTTTTCCCCCTCTTTTTCCTGTAATGATTGTTATCAAATCGTCGAATGAGTCTTTTCTTTTTCCTTTCCTCTAATTTCCTGTCCCGTTAATCGGATTTTCCTCTAATTTCCTGTCCCGTTAACCGGAATTGATGATGCAATAAAAAAGAAATCGAAAGAAAATGACTTCTTGATTTAATTAATATTAATCATATATATGTGTGGAGAAAATTGAAACTTAAATACTCCATATTAAATCATTTGATCTACATCACGTAGAAAGTTTCAAACTCCATTGTTTTAAAAAAAAATTACCGCAAAAAGTTCAAAGTTCAAATTATTAAAATAAAAGAATTGAAAAAACAAAACATTCAAATTTTAATTATTGAACGATGGTAGAAGATGAAAATGAAAAATAAGACAAATTATGCTATTCAATGTGATGTCATGATGAAGCGCAATTGTCAATCAATTATGCTATGAATATTTTGCGCGGCAAGAGAAATGCAAGAAAATGATCGTTATTTATTTGAAATAATCTAAACGAAAGTAATTAATTAATTAATTATTTATCGAAAATAACAGTAAAAAAGTAAATTCCTATGAATTTGATCAAATTAATTCGTTTAATTTCATAATTTTGTTTCAATTTTTTGTTGCATTTCTTTGAACATAATTAAAAATGAATGATTTTAGCCAAATAATTGAAATTATTCAATAATCAATTGAGAAATAAATTCAATACTAAATTCAATATTAATTTATGTATTTTTTTCTGGCAATTTAATATAAAAAATTTTGAAGGAAAAAAATATTTTTTAAAAATTCACATCAAAAACATTTCCATTTCATTACATTTACAAATCTAACTTTTTTTTCTCCTAATTGAATGAAATGGAATGGAAAATGTTTTTGCGCCATTCCAAATTTAAAAATTAAGTAAACTTTAAAATCTTTAAATTTCAAAATTTCCCAAATTGGTAGATATTAAATAGTATAAGAATTGATTAAAATTAGCTAATATATTTCAAAAAATGATAGCATTAATTAGAGAGTTAATAAATGAAACTGAAATATCAAACTTTATTGATTAATTAGTTGTCACGTTTAAATTTTAATAAAATTCAAAATTTTCATCAAAAGAGTTTTGCGATGAATTAGTTCAATTTTGGTGACATAAATAGTAAACAATTTATGACAAATTTTTGAAAATGGAAAAAAGTAAACGAAAAAGTAAGAAAGCAAAATGCAAACTTTTTTTTTTGTAAAATAATTTTTTCATTTAAATATTTCAAAAAATTCGCATTGTTTTATCAGATAAACATCTGAATTTCCCAAATATTTGAATTATAATTTATGCTAATTTTTCAGAACTTTTAAATGATAATTTCCAATATTTCAGTAAATAATTTCCAATCAAATTGATAAGTACTGCAAAATACCAATTCATATCAATGTCTTTTCATCATATCACAATTGCTATCTAAAATGTGTTGATCAAAGATTACTAATTAAAAATTTTAATTTTATAAAATTTTAATAAAGCAAAAATGAAATGACATGGCGTCATTCAATTCCCTCCTCGTATTTTGTGAAGTTTTTCCGGATGTCTCTTTTCTCGCTTTTTTTTTCTTTTTTTTAATCAATAACGATGATAATATAAAAAAAAAGAAAGAAAAGAATGGATCATATATGAATGGAAAAAAAATTCCGGTAATGAAATCCTGTATAAGAATTCCGGATAATTATAATTCGGTTAGCCATTTTTGTCATCATACAATAATTCGAATAATCTGAACATATTATCATATTAAGCAGCTAATCAATTGGGTAAGCAACAAATTAAAAATTAAAAACCTGAATTCATTTCATCATTTTATAAACATTTCCTTGTATAACATAAACATATATAATTATGTATTATAATCATATGCAAAAAAAAAATCTTATCCATTTGATAATAATTATTAAACATAATTAATTTCGTTAAAGTTAACAAATCTGTAAATTAAAAGAAAAAGAAAACAAATAAGTAAACAGAAATAATTATATACAATACAAAAAAGCAGGAAATAATAAGTAAATAATTATCTTTTTTTTTGTTTAATTAAAAAATGATTACTGATACTTATCATAAATTATTGCATGTCGTAATTAGTACTGATAATCGCAATTATCATTCAATTATCACTTTATCACTTCTTCAATAAACAACAAACGAATTCAAATAAAAAAAAAAAATGCATTACATCACAGTATGTCACAAAAAATGTCGCAACATTGCTATTTCTCTATTTTTATCACTTATTCAGCAACATTTTTTCTTTTTTATCATTGATTAATCAACTTATGATTAATTAACAACAATTTTTGGTATAATTAGTTTTTAATAATTAATTCATTTGTTTTGCTATTCTAATTACGCTTTTCCTTCATTTTATCTTTTTGCAATTGCGCTTTTTTCCAATTTACTTTCATACCTTTACTTTTACTCCTAATTTTTACAGTTAAAAATTACACGTTATCGATTATGTAAATGAATAATACTAAATTTAAATAATATTTTAAACGAGTAATTTGAGAAAAAATTGAATCATACAAGCATAAGGAAGTCTTCTTGAGTTTAACAAACAATTATTTCTTGTTATCAAGGAATTGAATTGAATTGAAATGAAATGAAATAGGAGAAATGTGACATACTGTATTATATTGAGTCATTAGAAATTTCAATACAATTATTATTTTATTTTAATGCAAATCTTTTATTAATTTTAAATTAATTTAATGCAACTTTTCATTAATTCTTGAAAATAATTGCGAAAAAAAAAACTTTTTGTAACTTTTATATTATTAATATATTCCTTTTGACTTTAATATGATCTATATAGGTTAAAGCTCTAAGAAGAATTACGACAAATTTAATAATTCTTCTTAATTTGTGGTTCCATTTTTAATTGACCATTAGATTCAATCGGACAATTAAATGTTTCATCATTATTGGATGATGCTAACGTATTATTACTGGTCATTAAAGCAGAATGATGAGTTGAATGATTAAGCTGATTTTGATGACATGTCATTTCTGCATCTTCGTCATTTTCTTCTGTAAGTGTTTCCAGATAACCATTAGGACAATTTGTACGAACTGTCACAATACATTGATTCAAATGATTTTGAAGCATTTCACAAACCTGAAAAATTTTTTCATTTTAATTAAATGATATTTTTTTTTGTTTTAAAATAAAAATTTCAAATTAAAATAAAAGTCATGCGTGCTTATTTGATAATTATGATTATATCCAATAATCATTCAACTTTCAACTTATTAAATTTCGATAAATTTTTGAAAATATTAAAATTGGTAATAAAATTAAAGTTAACAAATGACAAATATGATCATCGCAATTTTTATATTGTCCATTTTTTTAAATAGTCAAAAAAAAAGTGACAAATGTGACCATTTCAATTTTCTATTGCTGTCCTGCTGAATTGTCAAAAATGTCAAAAATAAAGCTATCATTGCTGCGGAAATTTTAATCTGTCAAAGATACGCTTTTTGGCAATTTAAAAAGTTTCCTTATACAGAAAGATATAAAATATCCATATCGAAATAATGCTTGCTTTAACTGACACAACCAATCATCATATAGTTATTTTTACTAATAATAATAATAATAATAATAATAATAATAATAATAATAATAATAATAATAATAATAATAATAATAATAATAATAATAATAATAATAATAATAATAATAATAATAATAATAATAATAATAATAATAATAATAATAATAATAATAATAATAATAATAATAATAATAATAATAATAATAATAATAATAATAATAATAATAATAATAATAATAATAATAATAATAATAATAATAATAATAATAATAATAATAATAATAATAATAATAATAATAATAATAATAA